TGTCCCCTGGTGAAAAGAAAAATCGGAACGTAAGTCGAATGTAAGGAGAGAGTAAAGAGAGGCGTTTTTCGCTCTCCAATTTTCTCCTCCTAGAGGCTTCATTTACGCTTCTGTTACTCTCCCCCTTACACTCGACTTACGCTCCGATTTTTATGTTCGCCATCAGGGGTCCGTTGAATGTAATTAAATAACATTGATCTCTCTCGAGGCCATGTCTCGTATATGGAATATTTCGTATTTTTTGAAGCTACACGTCCAGCGCGTATATTTTCGGACGCGATACGAAGGTACATTCCGCGTAGAATCAGGCCGGTCCGGTTCGGGCCCGGCCGTCTTTGGGCCGTCTTTGGGCCGTACCAACGTGATCGGGGAATTGGAATTTCTCATTCCGCTTCTATTCCGCGTTGCCTTGTCTCGGCAATTCCCTTTCTGTATATTGCACATTTTCTTCGGCTCTTCTCGTCCCGTCCCGTTAGAAATATACTAATTTCAATATTTTTGTACGTTTCCATACGTACGTTCGTTAGGTTGCCAATGCTGGGCCCTGGGAATGCGCGATGGCTTTGTCTCTCTTCGTCTTTCTCACGCTGCCTGTTCCCCCGCCTCTCTCTCGCGCCCGCGTACCCCGACTCCTCCCCTCCGCTTCTCCCGCTTCCCATTCCTTTCCCCCCTAACCTCAACAACGCCGCTGCCTCTCCATTGCCTCTGTCTCCCTCGATCACCCCGTCTCTCTCGCTCGCGCGTCTTATTGACCCGGACCCGGTTCTCTTCTCCTCTCTCTTCGATTCGCGCCGGGTTACCCGCACCGACTCACCCGCCGCCTCACGATGGCAAGGGTTGCCAGGGGGGGAGGAGGAGAGAGAGAGAGAGAGAGGGGCGGGGGAGGTGGGTGGAGGAGGCACCGCGGGGTAGCGGGAGGGACGGGAGGACAGGTCCGACGCACAGGTCCCGCGATATACATTTTCATTTCATCTTCTTGGCGCGCTATCGGAGACAGAGAAAAGTAGGAAAAAAAAGGAAAAGAGAGGAAAAAAAGGAAAGAACAGCGAGCGCGCGCGCTTTGAAGAAGAGGTGGTCAGGAAAATTTTCGGCCATTCCCCCGAGCGTTGATCGGTCAGGACTTCTCTCCATCCGATTCGCGCGAATTCCAATTCGCGACTTCGCTCGCGAGGAAAAAAAAAAGAAACGCGACGGCCAAGGGATACATTGCGAGAGCGTCACATTCCTGCGGTTGTGTATCGATAAAGAGATAATAAGAGGTTATATATATGAAGAAAGAAATGAACTCTCTCTCTCGTCCGCGAACGTTCTTCCGAGTTACGATGCGACTTGTTTTCCATCGAAAAATTATTAGCTAATTCGAAGAAGGAATTTTATTCTGTGATCGGTATAGCGAACGTATCGCATGAAATGGTAGAACACTCCAAGTCAAGTGAAAGTCAAAATGACTTAATCATGACGTCATGAAGGTCAAAATGATGATTTCTGATTACGAAATTTGGTCATTTATTGACGCCAAGGATGAAAATAGTTATTTTTACTTTTCGTGTGTTTGAGCGATTGAAGCGTGATCGTGTGTCAGAGAAATTATTACAACTTGATGCGCTTATCATAAAGGTATTTCTTTCAAGATGGCGCATAATGACGCCTTGTCGTACGATAAATCCGGCCTCGGAATCGTTTGCGCGTACATGAATCGGGGTCTCGCGTGGTGAATCCTCGGGGGCACATTCCATTCGCAGAATGTGAAATTTCATCGTTCTTCCGAAGGTTCTTCCGTATCGACCGACGAAGAGAGCGGCCCGTCGTCGTCGTCTCGCCGGTCGGTAAAGATAGCAGGCACGCGTCCTCGTCTTCGTCCTCGCGCGTACGTTACGATGAGCGGGAAAAAGGGCGTAAAGCAGCGGGCGTGAAAAGCAGGAAGCGTTGTCCGTCCGATGTGGGGCAAATTCCAGCGAGCTAGCGAGAGCGTAGCGGTGTAGCGAAACTAAGGATAAAAAAAAAGAGAGACAGAGAGAGAGAGAGAGGTAACAGAAGAAAGAGCACGCAATGATGACGACGTCGTGGAGTCAGCCAGTCGGTCGCGGGGAATAGGTGCGTCTCTTTCTTTTTTTCCTCGTCTTTCCGCGTGCTTCTCTTTCTCTGCCTAAAAGTTGACCTCGAGTTTCAAGGGTAGAGAAGGGTTCGCAGTCGTTTCTGCGCCTCGCTCCCCCTCCCCCCCCTCCACCTTACCCCGTCCCACCTCACCCCACCCTCCCCACTCCATCCCACCCCACCTCTCCTCTCTCCTCTCCTCTCCTCTCATATCTTACCGGAGGGACTGTACGGCGAGTCGCGCGCGCGACTCTCTCGAATTCTCTACGAACGGAGAGAGAACGGAAGAGGAGAAAGCGACGTTGCCTATAGCAGGACGGCGGTAGACTCCCGCCATCCCCACCGGCGGTATAGCGCCGTTCGATTGGCCGGCGCGCTTAGGTTCTCCTTTGTGAGCGGGCGGGTGAAAGCGTGCCTGGCAACGTCGCGAGAGTTTGCCGGCGTCCGCTGGAAGGAAGGCTAAACTGGTACGGGTGCGAGAGAGCGAGAACGAAAAGGAAAGAGAGAGAAAGAAGGACAGAGCGAGCGAACGAGACACCCGGCTCGCGAGGGGCGTGGGGGGGAGAACTGCATGGAAGACAGAGAAAGAGAGAGAGAAAGAAAGACAGACAGATGTACGGGGAAAAGAGAGGAAGAGAGATCGTACGAGCGCGTCCAGGCGGTCTGTTCTCTCGTCAGGTTCGCCCTCTGTGTGTGCGACGTCGCGTGTAGTGAGTCGCGGTAGAGGCGAGAGAGAAGAGAGTCTCTCGCGCGCACGTACGCTTCTCTCCAATGTGAAAAAGCTATCGCGCTGTACTACTACCATTACACAGAGCCGGCTGTTACTACTAATACCACTACTCTATTGCCCACCATCGTGACATCGTCATAGCGGCGTGCTCGTCGGACGTGCCGGCGTCGCTTACGCTCCACGTCGCGTTGCGTCGCGCCAAACCGAACCGAATCAAACCAAATCAAGCTGAGAGTTGAGCGCAGAGCCGGAGTGCGTGTTTATAACGCGCGGAAACCGGAGTACCGGCGTCCCGCGGACGCGCGCGTGACGCGTCCCCCTGCGTCGCGCTTTAAGCGCCGCAGAGAACCCGTCATCATTGGAAAACGCTGTTGCTGCTGCTGCTGCTTATACTCCTGTTCCCCGACATTGTATCAAGGACGTGGTGTGTACACCCGTATCCTTGCGTCGGCGCCGCCACCGCCGCCGCCGCCGCCGCTGAAAGAAGGAACCACCGTCGAGCAAGCGAGTTTCGCCGCGGGACGGTATAGGGGAGAGAGAGAGAGAGAGAGAGAGAGAGGGGGAAAGAGCGAGACGGGCTAGATAGAGACAAAGAGACGGAGAAAAAGACAGAGAGGGAGAGACGGAGAAAGAGAGAGAAAAAGAAGGCGTGAGAGAAATAGAGACGGAGCGAGCGTGAGCGTTCGACGTCGTTGCTCCTCGTCGTCGATGGTGGGGAGGCAGAGGGAAAAAGAAAGAGCTAGAGGGGGAGAGAGAGAGCGCCCTCCCCTACCCACCCGCCCGCTCGTCTCCTCTGCCCGCCGCCGTACCTACTCACGGAGCTAACGAACGGTCGAGCGTAGCGTCGAGTAGACCGCATCCCAAGTATAACGTACGTACGTATATTCACGGGGAACTGAAGCTAAGCGCGCCGCGGCGTGTTCTACGCGCTGGTGTTACGCGCGTGAAGGAAAAAAAAAGATATAAGGAAAACGCGCGTTCCGCGATGCGAGTAAGCGAGTACGAGCAAGCACGAGCTTTATAGTGATCGGTGTTCTTTCTCGTAGCCGGAGTCTAACCGTCATCGTCGGTTTAACGCGGAGATAGTGTTGTGACAGTGGGAACGCGTTTGAAACGCGTGCGTGTGGTGCGTGGTCTTTCCTCTCCTGTCCGACATCTAAGCGTTCTTACCAGCGAGTTCCCAAGTGTGCGAATGTGAGACGGATTCCGCGTACGTGCGCGAACGAGCGAGTGAGAGAGAGCGAGAGAGCGAGCGAGAGTGAGAGAGAGAGAGAGAGAACGCGAGAGAAAGAGAGAGCGAAAGAGGGTGAATAAGAGGGAGAGAGAAGGAGTAATATAGAGTTAGCTGTCTGTGTGCACCGTGCGTGCACGCGGGATGTTA